TAGCTAATTTTTATTTTATTTATTTATTTTTTATTTTGCAATACAATTCAGTTCTACATATCAGCCACGGATTCCCTTGTTCTCCCCCGTCCCGCCTCCCTCACCTTCCTCCCAGCCCACCCCCTATTCCCACCTCCTCCAGGGCAAAGCCTCCCCCGCGGACTGAGATCAACCTGGTAGACTCAGTCCAGGCAGGTCCAGTGCCCTCCTCCCAGGCCAAGCCAAGCGACCCTGCATAGGCCCCAGGTTTCAAACAGCCAACTCATGCAATGAGCACAGGACCCGGTCCCACTGCTTGGATGCCTCCCAAACAGATCAAGCCAATCGACTATCTCACCCATTCAGAGGGCCTGATCCAGTTGGGGACCCCTCAGCCTTTGGTTCATAGTTCATGTGTTTCCATTTGTTTGGCTATTTGTCCCTGTGCTTTATCCAACCTTGGTCTCAACAATTCTCGATCATATAAACCCTCCTCTTTCTTGCTAATTGGACTCCCAGAGCTCCACCCGGGGCCTAGCCATGGATCTCTGCATCCAGATCCCTCAATATTTGGATGGGGTTTCTAGCATAACAATTAGGGTGTTTGGCCATCCCATCACCAGAGTAGGTCAGTTCGGGCTGTATCTCGACCATTGCCAGCAGTCTGTTGTGGGGGTATCTTTATGGATTTCTGTGGGCCTCTCTAGCACTTTGCTTCTTTCTATTCTCATGTGGTCTTCATTTACCATGGTCTCCTATTCCTTGTTCTCCCTCTCTGGGTTTCTCTATGTAGTTTTTGTACCTGTCCTGGATCTCACTCTGTAAACTAGGCTGGCCTTGAACTCACAGAGATCCTCCTGGCTCTGCCTCCTACATGCTGGGATTAAAGGCATGTGCCACTACTGCCTGGCATAGCTAATTTTTAAAAGGTGGAAGTCAGAATAGTACTTAATCTTTCCAAAAGTGCGTTATAACACAATTCTAAAATTAATCATATCATGGACTCCGTCTGTTACAATGCTGTGTTCACTGGTGGCTTCCATAATTCTGTATAATAAATAGGTTCATGTTAAGGAGGATAACTGTACTATATCCATACACTCATGTTTTCAATTTTTATGCAATCTTAATAAAGCTGTAATCTTCTTCGCCATTTTGTTATTATTTCTAATATTACTTAGAATAAAAAATGAGCTAATAGCTTAAAATTATTACAATAATACATTTTATGTGGTAGTATATATTTAAGGGAGACATTTTTTCCTGTGAACTCAGCCTGCTTATTCCTGACTAATGACAAACAGTACAACAGAAACAATACTGAATGTAATTAAACTGAGGAGTATTCAGGTTTATCCTTAAACACATTGTACCACATAGAGAAAAAAACCACTATAATCTCAAATCATCAATTGGCACCAGACTTCTACGTAACAAACCACTGTAAACCCAAATGGTTTGGGTTGGAAGCATCTACTTTTGCTTCTGGCTGTCTCCAGTCCCCTTGGAGAAGCTGCGCTTCAGACTGTGATTTAGCTAGGTTCAGCTAAGCTTGGATCTAGTTCCCTGAAGAAAGGATATGCATTAGGGAAATACTCAAGTTTTCTGTTTAAAGGTAGTAAACTACATGCAGCGCGCCCCACCTCCTTTCAGTGACAGATCAGTGGGACATAAATGCCATACCAAAACTTGACTCCTGCCACTCCCATCCTTTCCACATACAGTTATTTAACCAATTTCAGTATTACAAATTCTTACTGAGGAACAACATAAGTAACGTGTTATTAAAGAAGAATTACTTGTATATGCAGTCCAACAGGTTTCATCAAAGTACACTTTGCCTGTATACCTTTCAAATATTTGTAAACTTTCAACATCACAGATATAAGCTGAAATTCCATGTCCTCATGCTAATATTGCTCTTTTGGTCCAGAGAACTACAATCAGAAAAAAAAAAATACTATAGGAACCAAAAAGAGAGGAACTGTACCAATGATAATATCTTAATATTTCTGAGTGGAAAGAAGTTAAGCCTTATAAAAATCAGTTGTTTACAGCATTTCATGAGCCCTGGACAAATGACTTCACTTTGTGTAGATGCTGTGAGGGTTTAGAAGTTCTTATTTTTTTCAATAGTGGATTTAAGTCTGAGCTCAATAGTACCAACAAATTTTTGATCTCATATTTTTTTTTAAATAAGGATCTGTGCTTAGTATGTAAAATGAAAAAAAATAAAAATCACAAATAAAAAATAAGAAAATTTCACATGTGTATACAATAATTTCAGTTATACTCAGTGATCCCTCCTATCCTAAGGATCTCTATCACTTATCTCTACTGGTGGCATTTCCTCTAGTTATGCTTTTTTTTAAATTATTTATTTATTTTAATTTAATGTGCATTGGTGTTTTGCATACATGTATGTCTTTGTAAGTGTGTCAGATCTTAGAATTATAGACAGTTGTTAGGTGCCATGTGGGTGTGGGGGTTGAACTTGGGTCCTCTGGAAGAGAGCAGTCAGTGGTCTTAGCTTCTGAGCTATTGTTCCAGCCCCTAGTTATGCTTTTTTAATGAATGAATGATTGAGTGAATGACTGCACTCCACTGAGTACAGTTAGTGCTGCCCTTATATACATGGGTGTGGGGTCATTCACTGGGACACAGGCAACCTATCAGTGGAACAACTCCTAAAGAAATGCGACTCTACCTTAACCAGGATCCATCAGCTTCCAACAGCTCCCCAGCTAGGGCTGGCTCCTCAGAAACCCCTCCCACTCCACGCTAGGTTTTTTTTTTTTTTTTTTTTTTTGATAGAACTATTTAGAAAAATATCAATCAATTCTCCCCTAGAGCCTATGACTTTGTATAGATTTTGAATAGTCTTAAGGTACCAGACATGAATTAATTTCCGTGCAATATGTCTCAAATCCAATGAAAAGAGTGGTATCTATCCTTGTAAACAGTACTGTGACTAATGTATCAGTGGGTACATTGCCACTGGGGTGGTATCATGGCTTGGAGGGTTTACTGCTAAATGAGACTACTGGTGTCTTTCTTACTCAGGACCCAGAACAGCACCTTCTAGCACTATGACATGTAGACAGCAGGAAGAATTTATAGGCCAGTTTAAGAACGATTTCTCATTGCCTTGCTACCAAAATGTGTGGCACATTACCTCTGATGGGCAACAAGGAGCAGCAGCAATACATGGCTTAATTTTGGATGCCTCTGGAGCCTCCATGGCCAGTAACTCTTAGGAAAATAACTTGTGCCTGACCATGAGATGAAACAAGGCATCTGAGTACAGCGCTATTCACTAATGAGGAATGCCTCTGCTCAAAATCACTCTTCAAAATGTTATATTTTTAACCAGCATACAAATGAGTAGAATTTATTAAGGTTTCTTCACAGTCTGTAGTTCGTTTATTGAAACAACACTTACACATTTTGAGATAATGTCCCCTCCTCTCTTGTCCTCTCCAGTCCTTTTTTCTCTCTCTGTCTCTCATCATGACTACAAATACTTTTGGTTAAAAATGTTCTGAAGCATAATTTGCTACTGAAAATACCTGAATCATCTTACCCAGTCTTTGATTTTTACCTCTGTCATAATGGATTATTTTATGGCAGCTTCGGGGTTTGAACTTTTTCTAGATGCTGCTTTTTACTGGTAACAACTTTCATTTGGTTGGACACAATTTTAACCTTACCTTTCTTCTCATTTTCTCATTTGTGTTTATGAAGTCCCCAGCTCCTTTTAGAGCCCATTTTGTCATCTTGTCATGACTTTCCAAATGAAGCTCTCATTACTAACGTTTTGCTAGAGAATTTTTGATGAAAATAAAACCAGAGTCTATTAAATGCATTGGCAACAGTCTCCTGGTGAAATGGTAATTTCATCCAAAGACTCACATTTATATATTATATGAATTTTTCAGCTTTCTGGAAGGACTTTATAATCACATTGAACTTTCATGACATTTTATCTGTTGTTTCTTTCAGTTTTTGTCAGATTTTGTCAAAACATCACTATGAAACATGTCATTCAGTCAAGGGTGATTGCTCACACCAGTAATCTCTGTACTCAAAACATGGCAGCAGAGGGTCTGGGATTTCAATGCCTTCTGTGGCTACATCCTGATCTCATGGAAGCCTGATCTACATGTGAACCTGACTCAAGTGAAGAAGAAATATCTCAACGAAAACTGAACACTTTAAATAATGAACACTTCTTGTTCCAATCATTAGTGTGGGTGTTGGCTGAGGCTCCACAATGTGCCTGTTATGTTATTGGACTCTGCTAGAATTGGCTTAGCTTGTGACAGACAGAGGCACTGGGTTACAGTTTAGTTGAAATGGCTTAGTGTAGAACTTAGTGAAAACTTTCTGCCAGTGACCAAAACCAAACTTCTTTACACCTCAACAGCATTGCTATGACACTCATGACTAAATGGATTATGCACAAAGCAGTAACTATGACTTAACAAAATATTTTCCATATTAGATTCATTCTTTAAATAGTTTACTACTTAATACTTTTTGTCTCAGTAATGACTTGTAACATGAAGTACTTCAGTTTAAGAATAGTCACAAACATCTGTTTTTCTCTGAATAACTTCTGAAGTGGAAATAATGGTCATATATGACTTTTAAAAATCTGGCTTTATTCATTGTTTGAGTGATCTTCCTTGCTATACGCTGACTACTTATTCTAAAAGTATGCTTTCTTGATGTACTTTTACTACATTTGCTTGGTTAGAAGAGCTTATAACTTGCTAATATATAAGTGCCTGAGACAATTTAAATGGTAGATTGGTTGTTAATATTTCAATATATTTTTATTAAATTATTTGCAATATTGTCATAAATGAGAAGTGAGTGTGCATACCATATTTCTTAGTTTTCTAATTACAAAATAATTTTCATGAATACATTTCTATTTTTAATTGAAAAATAGATTTTTTTCCCACATACAATAACCTGATTTTGATTATGAATTCCCTTTCCCCTTCTCCTCCCAGGTCCTTTCCACCTCTCCTCACATCCAGATTCACTTCCTTTCTGTGTCTCTTTAGGAAACAGTCAGACTACAGTCGAGGAGGCAGGTAAGCTAACCGCAGATAGATGTTCACTTCTCCCATACTTCTAGATAACATCCCCCGGTCTCATCCTCAGCTCTGAACAGAGCACCTACTGCAGTCTCTCTTCCCTTTACCCATATCTCTGGAGGATAGCACAGACCTGCTCCTAATTCCCCTGCCAGCATTGATTAGTCCTGGTTCCCAACTCCTGCAGGCACTTCCTGGGAACACACAGGCCACCTCTGTCAGAGAAGCAGTAGGCTGACAGCGGAACCTCACCCTCTTTCCATTTCTCCAAGTCCAATCTTCTATTTTCGTACGAAGCTCTGCAGCGGAACACCTGTGGCAGGCCTCTCCTACCTCGTCTCTGGTAGATAGTAGTAAAAGAGAATATAATAAGATAAAACCCTGTGTAATGTCTGGCTGTGGGTCTCTGTATTTGTTTCTTTCTCCTTCGAGAGGAAGCATCTCTGATGTTAGTTGAGCAAAGCACTGATCATATTTGTCTTTCCTTATTACTAGTAAAATTTCATAATTACTATACTTTAAAATTTTTAATGCATAATCATAGGAAGTGTATATAGAATGTATAAAAAAGGCATGCACTCAAATTAAACATGTGATACTGCATAGTATATTAAATATAATAAGGTGATTAATTTTAAAGTATTTGTAAATTTGGAGAAAAAATATTTTACTTTGCTGAGTTTTTCTTTAACCTCAATAAAAAAAATACTTAAAATTTGCCCAAATACCCCAGGCTTGATTTTATTTTCCAGATATACTAAAATATTTATTAATTTCTCAAAAAATATAAAATGCACAAAATAAGATTATTCATATTGTCCGTATGATTAATGATTCCTATGATTAAAATGCATATAAATGGAGATAACTTACAATTTGAAGAATTAAAATAGCATAATGTACAATAACATACTTGCCTTTAAAATTTATTTGCATTTCTTGTAGTATTGACTTTAAATTTAAGTTTGTGTTTTGATACTATTAATGTTATTATGACTAATATTAATAATAGCTATCACTAAGAATAATCTTCATTGGAACTCAGACAAATAGATCACTTCACAACTGACTATGGGCTATTATCTAATTGCCTGAATTAAATGTAATCAGTATATTTTTTGGCTCACTCAAAAGTTCAGGACTGGTTGATCAATTGTTAACACTGATTGATATTTGTGTAGGAAATGATTTGTGACTCATTATAATAAAACTGAACAATCACACTGGATCTACCCTACCATCATGTATGAATTTTAATTCACACTCTCACAACAAAACCTTGGTTACCCCATGAAATAAAATAATCTTTCTCTCTCTATCTAGCTCTCTGTCTCTGTCTCTGTCTCTCTCCCTTTCTCTCTCTCTCTCTCTCTCTCTCTCTCTCTCTCACACACACACACACACACACACACACACACACACACACACACACACACACTTATGATATCTATTCCCGCTACAAGTTGCAGGGAAAAGGCATTCAATATCTAAAAGCATAAATATATCATAAAACACTATTTGCCACTAAAGGTACATGTCATATCTTAATATCTGTAAGCATTCACTTATTTGTAATAATTTCATTGATTTTAATGAAACCCAAGACAAATCCACTTTGTTTATTTAGGAAATGTGTGTCAAGGCCCACTTACTGTGCACATACAAATGTTCATGAACTTAGGAAACTATTTCTAGCTTGGCGTAACATTAGCTAATGTACTTCACCTTTTTACACATCATTTTCTACGGTTTGCAAAGCAGGGAGCATAGTTCAACCTTGACATTTTTTTCATATGTAATACCATAGGATAAGTAGAAATCGAGGATTTGAGGGTTTTAGAAAAAAAAAAGTCTTCAATCATTCTACCTAGAAGCAAAATTATTGAGCACAAATAAGACAAACAAAAGACATCCAGGATCTCTCTTGGATGGAAAGCAAAATCGTCCTAGAATAAATAAAAACATTTAATAAATAATCTCATACTTAAATAAGAAAGTAATGAAATCTTGAACTTCCAACATTGTGATATTGGTTCAAATTTGAAACAAATAGGCATCTGCTCAAACGTCAAATTCTTATATGTTTTTACCAAATAAATAAATAAACTCAACTGTAAAATTATACAGGCATACATACCTGAGTATTGATGAAAAATTATTATTGCTAAGCAATACTTGAATTAAAAAGATTGAACTATATTTCTTTTCTAAATACACTTGTTTTTAAATTATGTTCATAAATTACAAAACCATAAATTGCTAAATGCTAATGATCCTTTATGCAATGTTTAAATACAAAGGTACTTTGTATAACGTACAATGTTTAATTTAGATCAGATGTATGGAGACATTTACTAAACACTTCCTACTAGATTTTGAAATGTGCAACATGTCGCTCTTGTCTATGGCCATGCTACTGTACAGTATAATAAGACATTTGCTACTGTTTTCGTGTTTCTTGATATCCATATATCAACCTCTTGCCCCACATACCTGTTCTTCCTCCTCCCATTTTCCAGTAATCACTTGGATTAGTCTGAAGTAAACTCTTTCATGATATAGATGAATAAGATTATCTCACTTGCTATTCTGAATTTGGCTTTTTTCACTTCTTATGACAATCTCCAATCTTTCCGTGTCATCTTGAAACAATTTAATTCTTGTCTGAAGGATATCCCAATGTCAAGCATGTGCCACATTTTTTTTTTATTCATTCATCAGTTAAGGAGAAATTAACATTATTTTTCCCTGTCCTCTTGTAAATTATTTCTCTCTCCTTTTAAAAGAGATTTACAAAAAGAGAGACAAAACTAAATAACTTAGTGCAGAACAAATAAAAGTCACTTCAATGTATGAAATGAATTCTTCAGTGTGATATTCATGATGAAATTAATTATTATTGCCACGGTTCTTAAAGTAAGAAAGAAACTTGACAGCCAGTTTGGATTTTTCTATGATTTAGAGATGTTAAACTACAGATGATTTTTCCATTCTATTATCTCATTGAAAAGAGAACTTTCTAATTTGAAAAGTATTTAGGAGTTTTGATACTCAGTCGGAAAATGTGCATAGCGAGCTGTATTTTGATGTTTTGGAAATGTTAAAAACTTCTGAAATATTTATTAGAATGACAAACTCAAAAAATAAATTATGTTTAAAAATTCAAGACATTAAATTATATCATAATACATAATTCATAAATATATAAAATATATTGGAATGGAGTGCAGTGTATTGCAGGGCAGATGGCTTTGAAATTAAGATACTGTTTTATAGTTTTCCGCACTGTAGAACAGTAGAATGGATTGCTTTTTATTTATTCGTGTGTGGATTCCAATTGTTTAGCCTCCTGCTCTCTAGCCTTCTCTATCCAAAGCTCTAGTATACACTATTATAATTCTAATCTATACTTAATAACTTCCACATAAGAAGGAACTGTAGTGTTTGTATTTCTGTGACTGACATGTATTACTCTTCATGATGTCATATAGTTCCACATTTTAAAAGGAAATGGGGTAACATTGTTTTTTAATGAGTGAATGATTAAGTTCTCTCACTACATCTGTATCACCACTATACAGCTATATAGATTCATTTACTAACTAAGCTTAGTGCTGCAACAATCATGATAGTTCAGCATTCTCTGAGATACAAATACTATATTTTAATATAAACTCAAGATTAAGATAATTGAGACTCTTTTCAGTCTCTCAAAGAACCACATTACTGTTCCTCAAACTGATTTGCTAATTTATATTACTAACCATATGTGAGGATCATTTCTTCACAACTTACAAGTATTTTTTTGGTAAATGCTTTTTCTACTGCTCATTTTTGACTAAGGTCTGACATTATCTCCAAGCGGTTAATAGATTAAAGAGTGAAATACCTAAGAGGCTAATCACAGTTATAATTTCAAAGTAATAGCAAGCTAAACTTGTGCCTACATACAGATGCAATGTAATGTGAAAATATGTGTGACTACTGTTTTGCGGTAGTTCTCAACCTCCTATGGTTTTGAAAATCATGTATGAAAAGAACAAACTCTTACTTAAATGTTAAAGAAGAGTTGGGTGTTTTGATTCACACCTTTATGCTGGGATTGGTGAGGCCAAGAAAGTAGGATTATAATTCTAAAACAGGCTGGGCTACATAGTGCATTTATGGCAAGAGTGTGGTACATACTAACTAGACTCTCTCTTGAACAAACAACAAAGCTACTCAGATTTTCCTTAATGTGTTCTCAGAATACTACAGATGCCTTTTGAGTAGCTATCATACTCAGTTTGATATGTTTGGCAAATGTGTACCCTACGCAGCAGCTCATTCACGTCAAGAATTGACTTAAACAAACACATTCCTCCAAGCATGGCCAACCCTTCATGTTAATTTGATCTGGACAGAGATACTCATCATCATTTGCTCTGAAGGTAGGCTAGGACCTGTTTTCCCTCTTACCTTCCAAGAGGAGTACCAAGGAGCCCTGGTGCTCAGCAGTTTGGGCAAACCCACTTTCCAGATTTCTGGATCAGCTTCACTGTACAATCCATTTCATCTTCTGTACCTTACCACACTTCTTCCTGAGTATACAGGAACTGCTTGCTAATAAATCACAGAGGTACAACCTCTGCTGGTCCCCAATATGCAAAGTTATTCTTGACACTAGTTTTTCCCAACATTATTCAATACCATGTAGCATGTAATAGAACTGGCATATTTTGTATTGTTTGTCTCCCTATTTTGATTGTAAGCTTCAAAACATAAATTTTTGTTTGTTTGTGTTTTTACTTCATGAATTTCTCAATTCCTAATATTTTGACTAATGTTTGCTAGAGAGTCTTCATTGGTTTGAAAAGCTGTTGAATGGCTAAATAGATGATGGAATGGGATGTCTGGAGAGATGATAGACCGTCCATTTACCTCAGCAGGGCAAATCCCAATATTTACAATGAAACTAATGCTCTGACACGTACTAATCACGCTTTCTGCCTACATAC